GCACGAGACGTCATGTTGAGCGCGGTTAAGACCGCATGCCTGCTCCGGGATGGGAGGGAGAGAGTCTCTATTTGGCGGAGCACTCGGGTGCTCACTAAAAGAGTGAGGCTGGAGAGTATCTATCTGCTCAGCCGAGCTCCCAAGCTCTGCAGAGGGAAGATGTGTCGGCTCTTCCCCTTTCGGGGAAGTGGTGGCGGGAGCTGTCCTCATCTCCAGGGAGCGGTCCTGGCTAGATGAATGAACAGACAAAGGAACAGCACCTCGAGTGCTGTCATCAGCTAAGTGAATGGACGTACCACTGGTCGAGGCGTCCAGCTGCTCCAGATCCTCAGCTAGGAGGTCATCATCGTCTAAAGAAGGAAGATCTAAGGACCTATGGGGGTCACTGGTAGAGGTCTCAGGCTCATCCTCTGCCTCAGGGGAGAGGACAGCAAAGAATGAGTGGTTGGCCTTAAAGGCCGACTGAAGAGTGTGTCTGGGAATGAAGCCCGAGGTCTTGGCCTTGGGCCCAACAGAAGCCAACTGCTTAGGCTGGTTAGGATGAACATCCTTTCCAGTTTGGGCAGTGGAGACCATCACAGCCTTGCCCTTATCCTTGACCCCCTTTGGGGATCCGGGCGCATGGAGAGGGCCTTTGCCCTTTCCCTTCGGTTCCCTCCGGCCATTGGAGGGTCCCGGCTGAGTCGCACGGTGGCGCGGAGGCAGAGTGGGGCGTGGCTTATTGCCACTAATGTAGCAATCAGCCGCTATGTGCCCCACATGGCTGCAGGAAGTACAGAACGCGGGGATCTTCTCGTAGATCACCCGCTGAGCAAAGGTCTCCGAACCCTGCTCAATCTCAATCTCATGAACGGGCTCAACCCTGAGATTGATCTCAACACTAAACCGAGCCACATTAGCCCTTGACTGGAGGGCTGTCGGGGCATCAATGCGGACTGGTTTTCCGACACACTTTGCAAGTGTGGTGATGGAATCCCGGTGATAGAGGTGTGGTGGAAGGCCGGGGAGGCGGCACCACACGGGGACGACATGCGTCTCTGTCTTCGGGTTGAACCCGAAAGTGTACTTGAACACCCTAGTTGGGCATCGACACACAGAAATGGAGGTCTTAAGTTAAGTCTCATTATAATCCTCAGGAAGGTCAAAGGTGACTAGGAGATGGTTGAAATTATACCACTTAAATGAAAATCTACCCTTAAACCCCAACTGACCTAATCCAGCAGATATAACTCGGGGGGAGGGATGTCATAAGAGAACTTAAATACCAAGGTTTTAGCTAACTTACCGGCAAGGGTGTCAGCTTCGGCCTGCGAGAATCGAGCCTTCACCTTGTTTCCCTCCGAGCGGATGATGGAGCTGCAGGCATGCTCGTAGTTCCCGTCTAAGATGTACTCCTTGGGCGTCGGTTGTGGTACTCCCGAACCGCCATCTCTCTTTCCCGTAATGGCCTCCCGGAAGGAGAGCGGCCTATTGGGTGTGGCCGGAGGGGGCCCTGCTGTAACGGGGTTGCCCGATGAATTGCCCGTCGGTGATGTCCCATTCGGTAAAGGACCGGAAAAGAGAGCCGCGGTCGACTTGCTCGGCCCCTCAACCATCACACCGTCTTCACGAGCATACAAGATATCCAGTGTGGGATCTCCGGCAGTAGGGTTGACTATTCCAGCGGGTTGAAAGATTGAAGAGTGAGAGTTCGGTCGGGTTTCGTGAGTTTCGGTCAAGTAAGCTATTTCCCGGTTGTCCCCGGGTTGACTTCCGATTAGATTCAAACTTTCGGCAACTGGGGCGGTGCCGGCGCTGGCGCCGGCGAAGGCCTGGGTGGTCTGATTGGAGGTAGTGGGCTGAGTGGTCTGTATGGAGGGAATGAGCTGGGGGTTAACGATTTGGAGAGGGGGCTGTAGGGTGTTGTCCTGGGGCTGCAGGGTGTTGGGCTGGGAGGAATCAGTGGGTGGATTGGGCTGCGTATGCTGAGGGATTGAGGAGGAAATATGTGGGTTGGTGGGCTGGGGAGAGGTGGTGGGTTACGGTTAGAGGCCCAAGGGTAGGCCTGGGGAAGATGTGGGTTGGGTAGCAGATTGGGTGGGGATAGTGGGCTGGAGATACGACCCAAATTGGGATTGTCCGGGATTTTGGGTTAAGGGGCGATGAGGCCCAACGGGAGAAACTGAAGGGAAACTATACCTTATATCACGATCGTCCACGTGTCTTGTGAGCTGAGGGACAGAAGCACCATCGTCCACGTGTCCTGGGGGCTGAGGGTTGGAGAGTACTCGGTCGCCGCCAGCAGATACGATGGAGTGCAACGGCGTGAGCAAATCTTTGACCGGCGAGGAGATAATTTCTGCTCGGGAAATAAGCGGTAGGGATCCAAATCGGACTCTTGAGGTTAAATCATGATCGGTGGCCGTAGCTTGCGGGAACAGCCCTTTTCTATCTTCTGAAATGAGGAGTAGGTCGGGCGCAGATGGTGACTTCTTTGTCACAGAGGAAGAGCCGATTTGACCTGCTTTTGAAACGCCGATGTGGCCTGCTTCTGGAGGTGGTTGAAAGTCCATGGAGGGAAAGAGCGAGGTCGGAGCTTCTTCTACTATGGAGTTTTTGAATTTGTTGTCCATGAAAGCCAATAGGGTTTTACCGAAGTCGGGATGCGAGAGAAATTTTCTGAGGTCTGTCTGCGAGATAGTGGACGGGGAATGTAAATCGGCTGGCGGAGGTTCCATCGCCGGCGCCAACGTCGAGGCGGCCGGTGACGGAGGAATGGACGGATGCATCTAGGGGAACGGGGCAGTCGGAAAATGTGGAAAGTATAGAGAGAGAAACGTAGAGGCGCTAGGTTAGTTGTCTGACCTAGCACCATCACAACTAACCTAGTTCTGATGGTGCTAGGTTAGTTGTATGATTGTGCTAGGTTAGTTTTCTGATGGTGCTAGGTTAGTTGTCTGATTGTGCTAGGTTGGTTGTCTGATTACGCAAGGTTAGTTGTCTGATGGTGCTATGTTAGTAGTTGCTAGGTTAGTTGTCTGATGGTGCTAGTTTAGTTGTCTGATTCTGCTAGTTTAGTTGGCTGATGGTGCTAGGTTAGTTGTTTGTAGTTGCAACTACATGATGAAAATTTGCTAGGTCACATAGCAAAACTTTGAAAGGCCATAACTTTGCGTAGAAAGTCCGTTTTGGACGATTTTTTTTTTTTTTATTTGGGGTAGCTCGACGAGATAAGCAGCTGCAAACTGCCGAAGGCGGTTTGGCCGCCCAAATTTTCAAAAAAAGGTCTTTTTCTTGCTTTAATTTCATTTTTAAGCAAAAAATACGTTTTTTTGTATTTTTAAACCTCTATATCTCCCCAATCGAGACTCATTTTTCGAAGGTTTTTTTTCATAACAATACTCTCAACCTCTTTTTTATGTACCAATTGGAAAAAATGAGAAAATGCATAGTCTCTGCAGTTGCTAGGTTAGTTGTCTGATGCTGCTAGGTTAGTTGTCTAATTGTGCTAGGTTAGTTGTTTGATTGTGCTAGGTTAGTTGTCCGCATTTTAAAAGCTGACCTCATTTTAAGAGCTGGCCTCATTTGATATGCCCCCTATATATATATGGGTTAGTTCAAATACAAACTAAATCTGTTGTATTGCATGATGCTATCACACACACACACATGTAATGTGTTTTGTAAAAAAAAAATATAATAATATGCTACCCTAGAAAAGGGATGAGATTTTTTAAACATGAGATTTAAAAATCTTTAAATTTGTTAGAGATTTATGCATAAGAATGGGATTTAAAAATATGTGAGAGTTTTTAAATTTTAGAGATTTATGCATAAGGATGGAATTTAAAGATACGTGAGATTTTTTAAATTTGTCAGCTATTCATTAAAAATATGTTGCGTAGATAAGGGATAAGATTTTTTAAACTTGTAGATTTTTTAGCAATAAAATAATAATAAAATTGAGAAAAAAAAATGAAAATAGAATGCATTAATGTGGATTGACTTTTCTTGTTACTACTTTTCGTAAATATTTTTTGTAAATAGGTTGGCTCTTTAAAATAAGTTTTAGTCGGGCAATGCTATATGTACACCCCCTTTTAATAAATTACACAAAGAAAAGTGTTATATGTACACCCCTTTTTTACACACAAGGGGGTGTACATATAGACACCCCCTTTTAGTCATAAAGAGTGGGAACACAAATGATCCTCCTTTAAAAAAAAAAAAAAGTTAATAAAAAATAATTTAAGGACTTTTGAAGGGCAATGCTATATGTACACCCCTTTTTAATAAATTACACAAATGGCAATGCTATATGTACACCCCTTTTTTACACACAGGGGGTGTACATATAGACACCCCCCCTTTTGAAACCTATAATAAGATAATAAAATGAAGTAGGACTATTCCATTTCGGATAAGTGGTTGGTAGGTAGTCCATAGAGAAATAGGCCAACGATACTTGTGCACAGAAAACACTTCATTTCTAGTTTTTCGATTATCAAGAGTTTCAATTTTTTACCAACAGGAGTAGTTGGAAAAAATTCCAAGATGAATTTCCGAAGCTCTTCTACAAATCCAACAATAGAAGCTCTTCTACAAATCAAGAGTTGGATATTTTGTAACTTACTGTTTGCATATCTTACATAAGAGTTTCAACATACCTGCATTTCATCTTTGAGCAAGCTATTTAGACAACCACAATCACAAGCAACATAACAAAAATGACGAAAGCAACAAGGAGAACTCAATTAGAAGAAAGAAGTTGAGTAAATTCAATTAAATCCAATCCATATAGGAGTATGATTGTCATGAACGAGACAAAAAAAAAAAAAAAAAAAAAAAAAAAAAAAAAAAAAAAAAAAAAAAAACTACTGCAGGGGAGCTCATAAACAAAAGATAGAAATGGAATCATAATTCCACAAATCCAGTGCAAATATATATGTAAACAAGCATCAAAACCTCAAAATACAATTCCTCATTTCCTCCGATCTTTTCCTATTTCCCTCCAAACCATCTCAACTCTTTGAAGCAAGCTTTTCTTTGGCCTTCTGTATCTTCAAAACCTTCTTCACGATCTTTTGTTCTTCAACCAAGAAGGCCCTAATGATCCTATTGAGACACGAAGAGATACAATTAGGCTTAAGGGGAGTCTAAAAAACATGTTCGGGCAATTATTAGGTAGTACTTTCAAGTGCCTCAAAAAAGGAGGGATTTTACCTTTCCCTCACAGCAGAACCAGACAATACTCCACCGTAAGGACGGTTTACAGTCCGACGGTTCCTGGGTAACCTAGATCTTTTATACTCTGCAGGTCTAAGGTGAGGAATCTGCACATTTTAAAAACATCAACTACATTATCAGAATTTGGTATTAAATTAAGTAAAGAAGTTTACCAAATTCAGAAAAGTATCCGTAGAGAAAAATAAATCACAAAGTTCATTCGAAATGGAACACCCCAAGTAAAGCCACCAGACAGTACATCGACATGGGCACCAATCATCAAGATACTAATTTAGCAGATTCAAAAATTTATCATTTCATTACAAGATTTATGCACAAAACCGGAACTACAAGAACAAAAATGAGCAAAGATTACTACGTGTATTCGCCACAGTAATCGAATTATAATAACCAGAAGTCCAAATACAAGAAAAAAGAATTAAGCATATATGATTCAACCTGTCACAAGAATGCTTATTCAGAATCAGGACCTCCAACAACAGTGAAACGCGAAAGGTATTATGTTGCAAAATAGATGCAATAAAAAAAATGAATGACACTAACATATCAAACCACTCACTAAACCACGTCATAAGAAGATCAGCAAATGTAATGGTCAAACAAACAACTATAACAACCCCACAATTTAAACTCAATAAACTGATACCAATCAAATAGCCGTTTCATAAATATCAATCTTCTACAAACTCACTATTCATAAATGCAGGTGCCAAGGTATACACATCAAAGACGCAAATTGGTCCAAAAGGGAAGTAGAATCATACAACAACGCGTCTAGTCATTTTTTCTCCAACAAATAAACGAGCTTACATTCCACAAATACATTGCTAAAAAGGGCTCAATCTTCAATATATACATTTTTTTTTTTAAAACAATGATGTACATGAATGAACAGCATTAACACCATCTCTAGCTTACAGATATAAAATAGTAAACATAAAAAAAAGGATAAAAAGGAGCATACCCCTTGGATTCTCTTGCCAGTGACTGGGCACTTTGGTCCACTTGCCCTCTTCTTAGTGCTCTGGTACACTAGCTTTCCCCCTTTTTTTCCACACACAACACACATTCCATCAGCCACACATACAAAACCCAAACTCACAACAATAAAATACAGAAAACTATAAATCTAAGAACAAATCCAACCACATCAACTCAAAATCCATCTCAATAAAATATAAAAAACGGAACAACATACGAACAAACAACACATTTCAATTGTTTCATTCTTTTAACGTAAGATTGATTACCGGGAGTTTTGACGACCCGATGCTGATTTGATTTTGTGGCATAGCTATGACGCGTCCTGTAAGTCAGCCGCTGCACCATTTTGATCTTAAGGGGTTCGTGGGCTTAGGCGAAGAAGAAGAAGGGGAAGAACTTGAATATAGCTTGGTACTGAATTATATTATTAGTGTAGACCTAGATTGTACGGTTGAGATTAATTTTTATATTATCTGATTGGATCTATGGCAACGATCGAATTGTCTCATATTTTTCAACAAATCGAATTGGGAGCGGTCTCCGCATTTAGCCCAACAATTAAGTCCCTAATTTTTAATATATTAATAAGGAACTGCGCGTTGGGCGGTCTAGTGTTAAAAATGACTTGGATTGAATTATAATTTAATTAAAAAATATTTATAAAATATGTATGGAGGTAATAAAAAGCAAGATGAAAATTTTATTTAGTATATTTTTTTTTTTCTAATTTTTTTTTATTTAGTATATTTTATTGGTAGTTGATATTCTGTATTCAATATATTATCAGATTATAGCAATTTATGATTCTAGAAATAACAACATATACGTGATTGTGACTACAAATTATCATATGTTGTTTTTTTATTAAAAAAATTGCAAATCTAATAAATTTAACATTAAAAAAACATTTTTGATATTCGATGAAAATGAATGTTTGTCACATTAATAATACTTGACGTGGGATATTATACCCACAAGGATAAACTGGTCTGCTGAACCGGTCGAAGGGGTTGAACCGCGAGGAAGCCGAACCAATCTAATGGTAATCGAGCAAGATGATGGTCGAACACCTTGAAGATAAGACCTGGAAGACACTGGACAAGCAGCGTATCACAAGTAGTCGAAGAATCGACTAGTCGAGCAGTCGAGCAGTTGAGCGGTCGAGTCGACCTCAATAGGTCGACCACTGTATGGACTGTCGGGATTCTGGAGATCGACCTAGTCACAGGCGCGTGTAAGAGCCTCTAACAGAATTTCAGGGGAATATTCAGAGGAATAATTATCCCATGTGCAGAGGACACGTGGCGAAAATGCATTGGTTGATGGCGACAACCACCTCTGACACCACCTCTGACATGCGCGCGGTATGTCAGAGTACGGACGGGCAGCTGGGGCAGCCAGCTCACCAAATCCGGGCAGCCTTTAGGTCAGGTATCTCACGCCTATATAAGTGGGCGTAAGCCTTTCTTCCTTAACAAAAATTCCATTATTCTACTCAAACATACACATACTTACTTAAGCATCGAAAGCTCTTCACCGGAGAACCCCCGGTGTGAGAGTTATTAGCAGGTTTTCCGGCATTCCACCGGCGAGGACGAGAGGCAATCTATTCCAAACTGGCCAGGACGCTCACACTTGCATTATTGGCGCCGTCTGTGGGGACTTTTGTTCAAAAAGAGTTGTTAAGCTTGGTAGCTATGGCAAACGGAATTCCCAGAACCAATTTACAGTCGTCGTTCGATGAGGCTTGGACGGCGACCAGGCCGTTGGGGCATGGCCCTCCTCCAGGTTTCTCTGGCCCTTTGCAAAAGACGGTCACTCCCAAGCCTGCTCTTTAAGGTGTGGTTGTTCCTGGAGGAGACGCGAGCTCCAGTCGCACCCAGGAACCTCATGCAGAAGCTGTGGCGGCGATGCCACCGCCGCCTCAGCCAAATCCAGTAGGAGACAGCCATGGGGATCAGTGGTGCAAGGAGGAGCACCACCGCAGGCGGAGGTTCAGGTTCCCGCTCACCAAGTGGTGACGATGACGAGGGCGGAGATGCAAAGGATGATGGACAACGCGGCGGCACAGGCAGTGCAGCAGGTTACTCACCAAACATCCCATGCTACCACTGCGCCAACGACGGTGGTCGGTACTCAGGAGGAGGATGAGTCCAGTTATAGAGGCGGAAGAGATGTGAGGTATCATGCGATGGTGAGGATGGCGGAGCATTTGTGCCAGTTGCAGGAGAAGGTCGAAGAGAGACAGGACAGGAGGGCGCGAGGACATCCTTTCTCGAGGAATATTTTGACTGCACCTTTGCCGAACAATTTCAGGGAGACCAACTTTGTGTTTGACGGGTCTGACCCATCGAGGCATGTGAGAACTTTTGAGAATATGGCGGTGTTGCGTGGATATTCTGATTCTGTATGTTGCAGGGCTTTCTTATCGACCTTGCGGGGAGGAGCGCTCGATTGGTTTCATCAGTTGCCCCCGGGGTCGATCATGGACTTTGAGGATTTTTCCAGCAAGCTCACCAATCAGTACTCGAGCGCAGCGGCTCAGGAGAAGACATATTTAACCTTGATGTCGATGAAGCAAGGGGAGAAAGAATCATTGAGGAAGTATGTGGCTCGATATAATCAAACATGTTTGGAGGTGCATTCGGCGTTTGATGAGGTGAGGGCGAGAGGATTGATAAGGAGTCTTCGAGCAGCGCCCTGCCGAACTTCGTTGGCAAAAACCCCTGCTCGATCGTATGAAGATGTGTTGAGGCGGTGCAAGAAGTATATAAACCTGGAGGAGATGGAGGCGGAGTTTGCCAAGCTGGAGGGAGTTGCTCGGCCAGAGCCGAAGAAGGGAAGAGCCCACCGAGAGGGAGGTCACCCAGAAGGGGTTTCCTCAGGCGGGATGGACCGAAGGGGGTATCGCCCAGGGGAGATGGGCTGGGGTATCGCCCAGGGGAGATGGGCGAGATTCGAAGCAAGCAAATCGGGATGATCGATGGCAGGGGAGGCCATTGCTATTCGAGCGGCAGAGGTATCACAATTTGACACCTTTGAGGAAAGACATGGGGGAGGTGCTCGAGGTGATGGAGCAGAAAATAGAGAGTGAGGATGTGACGTAGCTGAATACGAGGTTTACGGGTCCAACTCATCCCCGGTCAGATCTTTATTGTCGGTTCCATAGGGATTATGGCCATACCATGGAGAATTATAGGCATTCGAAGGATGAGATTGAGCGACTAATTCGAGCAGGGCATTTGAAGGAGTTTTTTTATAATGATAGGGCACATGGGAAAGGAAAAAGAGGTGTCGAGAGGATTCAGAGGAAAGAAGTGATCGAGATGAGGAGGGGGATGGTTAGTCGAGAGGAGGTCGAGGGAAGAAGCAGAGGGCGGGAGACGGAGATAAAGGAGGACAAGGAGGTGAGGCACCATTGAAGAGAGGGACGGTCTATATGATTCCAGGAGGACCGACAGATGGTGACTCAAATAATGCCAGGAATGAGCATGCTCGAGCGGTGAAGAGGAAGAGGGAGGAGGTCGGAATTACCGTTTGCATGTCGGAGATAAGTTTTAGAGCAGAGGATGCTGAGGGAGTAGTGTGCCGCATAATGATACCTTGGTGATTACCACGGAGGTGACGGGTTTTGATGTGAAGAGGGTGTTCATTGATACTGGGAGTTCGGTAGACGTGATGTTTTATGATGTTTTGTGCAGATTAACAAGGAGTTGAACATGATGTTGAAGCCGGTGGCCACAGCTCTTTATGGATTTAATGGGGGCGAAGTAATGCCGATGGGCGAGGTCACTTTGCCGGTTGCATTGGGATCAGGAGTGATGAGGAAAGTACGGATGGTGAGAGTTGTGGTTGTGGGAGCAGAATCATCTTATAATATTATTATGGGGAGGACAAGCTTGAATGCATTCCAGGCGGTCGTGTCGACGTACCACATGACGATAAAATATCCGGTGGGCGAAAACGTTGGCGAGATCGCAGGGGATCAACTTACTTCGAGGAGCTGTTATCAAACGACGGTGAGTAACAATAAGCAATTGGCGAAGAGGCAGGCTAAGTCGAAAGAAGAAGAGACTATTCGACCAGGTGGGTCGAGGTCAAAGGAGGATAAGCAGAGAGTAGAGAAGGGTAAGGAGAAGGTGGATATCCAGCCAGGTGGGGAGGTCGAGGAGATCCAAATGGTGGAAGGTTATGAAGAGAGAAAGTTTAGAATCGGGAAAGAGCTGGAGGAGCCAATCAGGTCGAAGCTGATTAGTTTGGTGAGGGACTTTGCTGATATTTTTGCCTACACGGTGGAGGAGTTGATAGGAATAAGTGCGGAGGTGATCGAGCACCGTCTGAACATCGACCTCAGTGTGAGGCCGGTGAAACAAAAGAGAAGGCACCATGGGGCGGAGATGGATAGAATTATTGAGCAGGAGGTTTAGAAGTTGTTGGGAGCGGGGCACATGAAGGAGATTCAATTCCCATAGTGGCTATCAAATACGGCGATGGTGTCAAAGGCCGAGGGGAAATGGAGAATGTGCATTGATTTTCGTGTTCTGAACAAAGCATGCCCAAAAGATTTTTATCCACTGTCTAGGATCGACCAGCTGGTCGATTCGACCGCTGGATGCGAGTTGTTGAGCCTGATGGATGCCTCCTAGGGGTATCATCAAATTCCCTTGGCGAGAGAGGATAGGAAGAGGGTAAGGTTTGTGACGAGCTGGTGGACTTACTGTTACGTGGTGATGTCGTTCGACTTGAAGAATGCGGGTGCCACGTATCAAAGGCTGGTGGACAAGATTTTCAAAGAGCAATTGGGGAGGAATATGGAGGTGTACGTGGATGACATGTTAGTGAAGAGTAAGGAGGAGATTGATCATGTGCGAGACTTGAAGGAAACATTCTTAACATTAAGGAGGTATGGGATGAAGTTGAACCCTGCTAAATGATAGTTCGGGGTAAAGTCAGGAAAAATTTTGGGATATTTGGTGACCAAGAGGGGTATCGAAGTAAATTCGGAGAAGGTGCGAGCGGTGATGGAGATGAAATCGCCGACAAGTGTTAAAGAGGTGCAGATCTTGGCTGGTCGAATTGAGGGGCTGAGTTGATTTATCTCAAAGGTGGCAGAGAAGAGCTGCCATTATTCAAAACATGGAAGAAGAGTGCGAAGTTCCAATGGACAGACGAGGCTCAGCGTGCATTCGAGGAGTTGCAGAGAGTGTTAGCCAACCTGCCATTGTTGGCTAAACCGGTTCAAGGAGAGGAGTTGGTGTTATACATTTCTATTGGAGAGAGGGCTGTGAGTCCGGTGTTGTTACGAGAGGAAGGGGTGCCGCAATTTCCCATTTATTATGTGAGCAAGGTGATGCAGGGAGCCGAGATGTGATATCGGAGATTGAAAAGTGCGCTTTGGCGGTAATCATAATCGCTCGAAAGTTGAGGCCTTATTTCTTGAACCACAAGGTAAGGGTGCAGACGAACATGCCTTTGGGAAGACGCTCGGGCGGCCCTCAGTCTCTGGTCGACTAGTAAAATGGGCGGTCGAGCTGAGTGAGTACTCACTGATGTATGAGCCGAGGAGGGCTATTAAAGCACATGTGCTAGCAGACTTTATCCAGGAGGGTACAAAGATCGAGGAAGAATCTGTAGGAGTTTGGCAGATATTTGTGCATGGATCTGTAGCGAAAAGTGGAGCGGGCTTGGGAATTGTCCTGGTTTCCCCTAAGGGCGATTACTTGGAATTTGCAGCTAAAGTGGGGTTCAGAGTGTCCAATAATGAGGCCGAGTACGAGGTGGTTATTAAAGGATTGCAATTAGCTATGGCCGGGGGAGCTCGAAAGGTACAAGTACATTCTGATTCTCAACTGGTAGTTGGGCAATTTTAGGAGGGATTTGAGGTCAAAGAGGATAGGATGTAGAAATATGTTTATGAAATGAAGAATTTGAAGGAGGAGTTCGATTCGTTTAAGCTGATACAGATTCCTCGAGGGGAGAATGGTCGAGCAGATCTGCTATCGAAGATTGCTCAGAGCCTGGTGGACTGTAAGGGTAGAAGTGTGACATTGTTGCATTTGGAGAGGAGTGTGGTCGAGGTGGAGGTAGTTGAGATCGAGGAGGTGGATTGGAGGGCCCCGATCCTTAGGGAGTTGAAAGAGGGGCAATGAAGGTAGTGAGGAGGTTTTTCGAACATGGAGGCATTCTTTACAAGCGGGCATATGCTTTGACCGCATCTGCGGTGTGTGACCAAGGAAAAGGGTCGATACGTGCTGAGAGAAGTGCATGAAGGGTGCTGCAGTGACCATAGCAAATCAGGGGCTTTGGTGGCGAAAATCCTGAGGACAGGGTATTTTTGGCTGACGATGAAGGAGGATGCCAAAGTGATGGTGAAGAAGTGTTTGTTATGTCAGAAGCACGGTCCATTGATTCACCAGCCGGCGGAGGTGATGACAACAATGAGCGCCCCGATACCATTTTCTCAATAGGGGATCGACCTAGTAGGGCCGATGCCGCAAGGAACTGGGCAGAGAAAATTCTTGATCGTGGTGGTGGATTATTTCACGAAGTGGGTGGAGGCCGAACCTTTGGCCAAAATCACGGAGGATAAAGTCATCAACTTTTTGTATAACAATATTTGCTGAAGGTTCGGAGTCACCAAGGTGTTGGTGTCCGATAACGGAACTCAATTCAATGGCAAGTGGATTCGAGCATGGTGTGAGAATATAAAGATCAAGCAACACTTTGCCTCAGTCGCTCATCCGCAAGCCAATGGACTTGTCGAGGTGACCAACAGGATCATACTGAACGGGCTGAAAACAAGGTTGGAAAAAGCCTCGAGGGCGTGGGTCGATGAGCTAACCTCAGTACTTTGGACATGCCACACTACCTCGAGGTCGACAACAGGAGAAACCTCGTTCAGTGTAGTCTATGGGATGGAAGCATTGTTGCCTGTCAAGGTCGAGCTATTATTACAGAGATCGAGCATATATGACCAGGGGCAAAACGAAGATCTAATGATGGCGACCTTGGACACAATCGAGGAACTTTTGGAAAAAACGTCGATCAGGGTAGAAGAATACAAGTAAAGGATGCGAGCAGCCCATGACAAGAAGGTGAAAGTTCGCAGATTCTAAGTGGGCGACTTGGTTTAGAAACGGATCGATGTGCTAAAGCATGTGGGAAAACTGGAGCCGAACTGGAAAGGACCATACCTGGTCGAGAAAGTACATGCAGGAGGAGCATACTCTCTAAAGGACGCTGAGGAACGATCGCTAGCCAGGTCATGGAACATTGCTAATTTGAAAAAATATTATGTGTGATTTTTTTTTTTCTTTTTCTTGCGAGAGTTTGGAAAGTTGAACATGATGTAACTTGCAAGTTTGCTCAATATTAATGGAATTTCGTTTTCTTACAATACATTCTCCTTACTCCTCACATTCTTACGTTTGGCATGTTGGTATGATCTGGATGACTGGATGTTTAAATTGATGTGATTAGAAGTGGCTTGCTCAGAACACCCCTTGGGATGGGCAGGTTGGTCGAAAACTCACGCTTTCGAGCTAGGTGGCCTCCTATTTGGAATATTCCTCAGATTGGGTGGGCAAGTGCGAAGACAAATTCCACCAGGAATGAGGCCCTAGGGCTGGGTGGTCGTTGGTTTAGAACACCCCTTGGGATGGGCAGGTTGGTCGAAAGCTCACGCTTTCGAGCTGGGTGGCCTCCTGTTTGGAACATTCCTTGGATTGGGTGGGCAAGTGCGAAGACAAATTTCACCAGGAATAATGCCATCGGGTTGGGTGGTCACTTGTTTAGAACACCCCTTGGGATGGGCAAGTAGGTCGAAAACTCACGCTTTCGAGCTGAGTGGCCTCCTGTTTGGAACATTACTCAGAT